CTCAACTATAGAGAAACTGAACAACCCTGAACACAACTTGTGATTTCCTGATTCTTTTCAGACTCACTTCTGTCCCTCCAGTCGCCTGCGATAGCTATGAAAATCCTATTCCATTCATTTACTCTGTATATATTTAGTAAGCAACAATATGTTCTTGGCACAGAGGGAGGTAAGGAGTCCCTTCACTCAGAGCTTATAGTCTGGCACTACAAATGTGAAAGTACTGACAACTATGAAAACAGTTAAAAAGGAGAAATAGAGTGTTACTAGATCATGCACTAGAAAGAATTCACCTAGTTAACAGGGACAGAGCAGTCTCCCAGAAAAAGAACCATTTAATCTAAGTACCAAAGGATAAAAAGGAGCTACTAAGTTAAAAAAAAAATGAGGTTAAGTTAAAAAAAAAAAAAATGGTTCTCATGTGGAGAAACAGCATGCTCAAGGCAATGAAGAAAGAAACTTTGTGGCAATCTAAAATACATGGAAGATGACCAGTTTCACTGTAGCAGAGAGAATGCAAGGCAGAGTGACCTGTGAGCTGGGGAATAAAGACAACAGCAGATTGTGGCTGACGTTATATCCAAGGTCAAATGTCCTATCATATAAGTATTTACCTTAGGCCTATCATACACTTGGTAATTGAGTATTTAAGAATATTTAAGGCATGTTTTCTTGCCCTCCAGGAACTCACATTCTTCTGTGGAGACTGACAGGTAAACTGTAGTGGGATAAGAGTCAAACTAGGTATATGATACAGTAGTTCAGAGAAAGATTAACCTTTTCTGGGAATTTGGGAAAAGCTTTCCAGAGAAAGTAAATTTCCTGAGCAAGAATTTGAAACATGCATATGAGTTCCCAAGCTAACAATGGCTTATCAGGCAAGGGACTAGGATATGCAAAATAACAGGGGCATAGAAAAAATCATGACTTTTCCATGAAAGCCCTACTTAATAGCCCAGAGAAGAAAGTGTTCTCATGCTCCTCAGAATTCAGGGCACCTTCACCATAATGGAGCTAGTCCACAGGACCATAAGGAACTTAACAGAAAAGGCTTCATCTTTTTTTTTTTTTTTTTTTTTTTTTTTTTTTTTTTTTTTTTTTTTTAATCACCAAGGGAACTTATCACAGTACTTTGCTTATGGAAGGCATTCAATATGAGTAAATACATATTTGTAGAATAAGCTATCTACTGAATTAAAATTAAGGGTTCATTACCTATAGAAAGAGTAAGAGAAGAAACATACTTTAATATAATTTTCAGGAGCTGGTAAAGAGACTGCCCAAGAAGGAAGGGCTGGAGAGTGAAATCCCTATAACTCTAAAAGTTCAAATGGTAAGGGAAGGACTCTAAACTGAGGTGCCTGGACCTCCCTTGTACAAGAAGCAACAAAAATGTGTTAGAATGTCACAAGGCAAAAAGTACTCACTGTTAAAAATGTATAAAGTTAAAAATTTTTTTAAATTTATTTGTTTTATTTATTTGTTTTTAACTTATTGTTTTGTATATGCATGTGTGTTGTGAGAGAGGGAGAGGGAGGGGTGGGGAGTGCTCATGCTCAGGGGAAAGGCAGAGAGAGAGGGAGAAAGGGAGAGAGAGAATCCCAAGCAGGCTCCACGCTGTTAGTGCAGAGCTGAACCCATGAGATCATGACCTGAGTTGAAATTAAGAGTCAGACAGATGCTTAACCAACTGAGCCACAGAGATGCCCCTGAAAAAAATTTATTGTTTAAAAAAAACAGTCTACCTACAAACACTGAAATAATCAAGGATTTGGCAGAGTTGATATGATTTCACGCAGAGAACGGAGAATTTAATAGTTCATTTCTTCTTCTCCTTCCCTTATCCAAGCCTTGAGTTTTAAGAAAGCATTTAAATTAACTTCAAAATGTTCTTGTAGACATTACTAAACTCTGTCCATACCAATGAATTCCAATGACATCATTGTTTCCATGGTAACTAATGCATTTCAAAAAGGGAAAAAAACAGAAAGCAAGACTAAAGACCAGGCAACAATGAAATAAAGTGGTATAAACAAAGCATAACATTTCTTCTTTGCATTTATGGAACACGTTCTAATTTCAGATGCTTTATGATTACTTAGACTCCAAGGCTCTTAAATGCCAAAAGTATCTCAGAGGTCATCAAATCTACATCCCACACATAACCAGGATCCCCTTTACAATGTAGCTGCACCATGGTTGTCCCAGTGTTTACAGAGCTCATTGCTGCAAAGTTCTCACTCATTCACTTGCAAAGATTACTGAGCACCTTGTTCTGAGATGATTAACATATTTTACCTCCTTTAAAAATTTTTCTTGTTTAGGGGTGCCTGGGTGGCTCAATCAGTTAAGCATCTGACTCCTGATTTTGGCTCAGGTCGTTATCTCACAGTTCATGAGTTTCAGTCCCACATTGGGCTCCACACCACCAATGCAGAACCTGCTTGGGATTCTCTCTCTCCCACTCTCTCTGCTCCCACCCTGCTCTCTCTCTCTCTCTCTCCAAAAATAAATAAATTAACATTAAAATTTTTTCCCTCTTGTTTAGAGGGCAAATAATTGAAACATAGGGGTGAAAAAAAGAGGGCTATTATAAAGATACAGGATGATGTCAAAAAAGCTAACTTGGGATTATGCAGTTCCGATGACTTTACATCTATTCCACTTCAGCCCCACACACCCATGACCAACCACATCTGGGACCTTGTCATTACCCAGAAGTGTTCCAACTCTGCACACATGAACTGCAACATTTACTTTCTGATCACAAACAGCTCTTTCACTCCCTACCTAATCCTGCACTAATCCTATGAGCTTTTTGCAGCCCAAGATCCTGCATGTGAAATATTTCCTCACTGTATTTCCTTGCTTCTATTCTTCAGTGGCACCCACCTAGCGATAGCCTAACCTGCACTTAGTGACCATCCCTCTTTCCCGCTGTTATGTTCCATAGGACTCTGCTTCACCCTTTCTTCCAGAGTCTAGAGAAAAATCTGTTGGAACAATTGAGATTGTTTGCCTCTTTACTTATAGGGCAATATATATCAAGTGCTGGAGGTAAATGAAAATAACATAAAAGACTAAAAGATACATACACTGAATCTGTCATTAGATCCCATCAATTTGGTCATTAGACATTAGACATGGTCATTAGACGTCCAACTAGCAAAGTGTATGTAAAACCTGACCCATAGCCGAAGTCCCATCAAGTAACAGCATCAGTTGAAATAGGTGTATGCAATGATAATTTACAGGGTGGGAAATAAAAAGTGCTGGTTTCAGCTTTTTAAAAGACTTTTCCCTCAAGAACTGCATGATGCTTTTGAGTAGACTGTACATAGGTCTCTACCCTTATCTTACAGTATGAGAAGTTAAGCATTCCCTTACATGCTGATAGGATGACTATTATCCTAGTTGAAGTGGCAGTAACAGACCACTGGCCCTGTTACCTAATTTCTGCTAGAAAGATTACGGAGAATTCGTTTTCAGTTTTCGGTAGATAGCCCTCTAACTTTTTGCTGATTTATATTTTTAAAATCCCATATAAGTATTCTTATTTAGTGGGGAGCCTGGGTAGCTCAGTCAGATAAGCATCTGATTTCGGCTCAGGTCATGATCTCTCAGTTTCGTGGGTTCCAGCCCAGCATCGGGCTCTGTTCTGGCAGCGTGGAAGCTGCTTGGGATTCTCTCTCTCTCTCTCTCTCTCTCTCTCTCTCTTTCTCCCTCTCTCTCTTTCTCTCTCTGCGCCCCCCACCCCCGCTCTTGCTCTCTCTCTCTCTCTCAAAAATAAATAATAAACATATTTTTAAAGTATTCATATTTAGTTATTTGGGTGGGTGTTACTTATACCTAGTCTAAAAAACTCTGTCCTGTAAAATTTAAAATCTACTCCTGAATTAATCAAGGCCATCTGATAGCCAAGATGGAGGCATCATGTTGGCTTTGTACACAAATGCTTGCTCTAAACTGTATTCTGGCACAAGTCTACTTGCTTACACCGATGCACACTTGGAGAAAAAAACCTATTTATGTTTTTTGTTTGGTTAAATTTATTTATTTTGAGAGAAAGAGAGCACAAGCAATGGAGGAGTAGAGAGAGAATCCCAAGCAGGCTTCAAGGTGTCAGCGCAGAGCCCAGTTTGGGTCTCGAATTCACGAACTGTGAGATCATGACCTGAACCGACATCAAGAGCTGGATGCTTAACTGAGTGAGCCTCCCAGATGCCCCTATTTATGGTTTTTAAGAAAAGGTAATGAGAGTGTGTTCCTTATATAAAGGATTTCTTTTTTCTGAGAACCTAGGAGAGACTTATGCCTCTCTGGTCTCAGCTCTCTTTCCCTTGAACATCAAGCTCTTTCTAACCTCATGGAAATGGACAGTTTTATAAAAACTCTATGTGGCTGCTAGAAAATTCACGGCATACTTCTCATATGAATTTAAGTCCCTCGATGGCATGCAGTTTGTTTACAAATTCACTTCTAACCCTGATTTCAATAGTTCTTTGGCTTAATATTGTATTAATTTGTTTTGTCATATTATATAGAAAATCTTCAGATACATTTTAGAAGACAGTGAGCTATATATGAGTTAAACTGGAAACAAGGAAAAAAAGTCACTTTTTTCAACTGTCTTCCCACCAGAGCTCTATTCAAGTGTATCTACCTAAACACTCAGGTGGGGTTTTTTTGTTGTTTTTTGGTTTTTTTTGTCAATAATAGCTTTCAGTATTTGGAAAGGTAGTATTTATTCACAAAACTCATACATGAAGGATGTTTTAGACTTCTTAAAAATATTTTAGTGCAATTAGAATCTTTCTTGACTAATATAACATGCATACACATTTGCACCTATATGTGTGTTGTTAAAGTAACCATAAAGATAAAGTAGGGTTTTCATATAGATTTCTGTAAAGAACTAAATTAAAATTTGGGCTGTATTTCTCAATGACTTGCTTCTTCAGTTAAGAGTGTCTCATAACAGTAAAGCTATACATGCTTACAGGCACATGGACTTTTCGAAACATCTCAGCACCCTTGTGTGCGTCCATCAGTGCAATGTCCTGGGGCGTGGAGACAATCACAGCACCTAACCATTGAAAAACAAAGCAAAGAGAAAGCAAGATGATGCCATCATTTAATGCTTTATGAAAAGACTGCTTCTAAAATTACGTTGCTTACAGGCTAACGGAGTCTACTACATTAAATAGGTAACCTGTATAAATTTTACATACTTGCACAGGAAAGATGAAGAAATATCTTCTTCGCTCTTGCCTATTTTTGACTACTCACTTTTAAAATAACAACTGACTGGGGGGTGCCTGGGTGGCTCAGTTGATGGAGCATTCGACACTTGATTTTGGCTCAGGTCATGATCCCAGGATCATGGGATCAAGTCCCACGCTGGGCTCTGTGCTAAGTGTAAAGCCTGCTTAAGATTCTCCCTCTCTCTCTCTCTTTCTCTCTCTCTCTCTCTCTCTCTCTCTCTCTCTCCCTCTGCCCCTCTCCCATGCTCGCACTTTCTCTAAAATAAACAAAAAACAAACAAACAAAAAACCCCAAATGACCAGTGATTCAAGATCACAGCTATACCATCAGAACTTTCTTTCCATTCAGACAATGTGCTAGTTAGAAGATGCCCAAGGTAGGACCTACTTTAAAGAAGCTAATAGTCTACTTGGAAAACCAAAAAATTAAGGATTATAACACAATGTACTAAGCACTGTAATAGAGATATGCTTCCTTTATATATATAATTAAGGAATTATAAAGGAGAAATAAAGGAAAGATAACCAATTCAATCTAGGGGTCAGGATAGCGAAAAAGCAGAAGGTAAGGAGAAGCAGTAGGGGAAAGGTTTCAGAAAGAGGTGACTCCCAAGCTGAGTCCTAAAAGTTTGTATTATAGAAAACTCACTAGTATGGAATGCACTGTGAAGAATAGTTTGGTAGGGGTAAAACTAGGGGCTGTGGTAGAAATTGAGATGCAAAATAGTGGTGGCCTAAATGAAGGTAGCACTGAAAGTAGGTGCAGATAGAGGCTTTCCTGGGTCTCTATTATTACCCTGAAGAAACCGGATAGTTCTATGGTATAGTGTTTTTAGAGAAAGTGCAATGTAATTTTGTCTTTAAGTGGAAACACCAGAGGCCTGGTTATGATTTGCAGTTTGTAATTTCTTAAATTTTGTAGGTTCTTCTAGATGATAACCTGAAAAATAATTAACATAAACATATTCTACATTACCTGGATGACCATCATGTTATAACTAAATACATACTGACATGACCTTTCAGAACCCCAAACCACCAAGTTGGCACCAAGGGGTTAGTAGTTCATCACAACTAATGAAAACAGAGGTAGAATCAACAATAAATAATGGACTATACCAAATGAAGATCAAATGGTACAACAAAGTATTGTCTGAAGGGACATTTTGAAGAATTCAAAATAAAGACAAGTGGCAGGGAACCAAGTTATCACAAAGCACGTGGCAATAAGGCATATCAAAGTCAAAAGAACTATGCTAGAGGAGTTAGCTACAAATTCATCTTGCAATCAATATTTTCATTCCAGCAAGAAAGAAAAAAGAAAAACACTTCCTCTTTTAATGTCTTTAATTTGAATTTTATTGATCTTTAAAGTTTTGCTTATATTTAACCTATAATATTTTTTAGTTTTGCTTATATTTAACCTATAATAATTTTTATTTAAAAAATTATATAAGCACTACGAGCTTAAGGAATTTATATTTATACTATATTTATACTTTGTTAAGTAGTCATATAATAAAAATAAGTCAATATGGGGTATGGGGCAGATTATTTTACCTTTAGAAGGAGGGCTTATTCATTATTCAAGTTTGAAAAACACTAGCTTTGGAATTCAAACAAAATTAGAATTCAAATTTTTATTCAATAGCCAACTTCCTGTGTAACTAGGGTAGTAACAATCTGAGATTTAGTTTCCTCATCTAGAAAATGGCACAGTAATACTAGGTCACAGGATGAAATAATTAAACAAACTCATGTACCTAAGATGCCTGACATGATGTCTGGACAGAGGGTAAACATTCAGTAAAAGGAAGCTGCCGTTGTTGTTGCTTATAGTATCACCATTCTTATCTATATTACTGCTGTTAATAAAATGTCTTAGATGTTGCTGGGAAGGTCATTTTTATATGTGCCATAAGGCGGCTCATCCTGCTTTTCAAATTGCTCCATGGATTACTACATCCTTCTATTTTTATTTGGTCTACCCAAGGAACCAAAAACTAGTTGACCATTCTGTTTCTTGTCTTCCAAAGATTGACGGAAATCACACCTCTGTAGAAATTATATTCTAACTCAACAGATCCAATATACGTCCACAATTTGCCACCTGCTAGGTCCTGTTATAAATCTATTTCACTGCTTTTTCATATCCAGGCATTTAGAAGAAATCTGATTCTAGTACTGTCCCTATCTATTGTGTGACTGACCTTTGGCAAGTAACTCAGCATCACTCTAGGTCTCAGTTTCTTTAGCTGTAAAATTAATGCAAGGACTAGATAGTCTCCAAGGTCTCAGCTACCTCTGATGAAATGTTTTAGCATTTCCTCTTAACTAAAGTTTCCAAAACCACTCCTGTTCAATCTGACTGCTCAATAAACCTATTGAAGTAAATGTGAAATGCTATCCTCCTCAAAGAATAATGGCCCCTCAATCTCAGAGCCATTCTCTTCACCTGTAAATAAAAAGTCCTTGGCTATTTCCTACAAATTCTCTCTTAATTATATACCAGTATATAGGGGGTTTTCTATTGCATTAGCCCTAAAAAGTACTTTTAACTTTCACATAATATAATCATTTTATTATTTTAAATAGCCTTTGTCTACTATTTGTATTACCACTATACAATATAATTTCATGGGTAGTTACGATTTTTTTTCATTTTCTATCAAACAAAGCTGGTACAATACCTTGCACAAAACAGTCACTTAATGAAAAATAGGTCATTTAAACAATTTTCCTGTATTTTCAAATCATCTATCCTAGACTAATGCTGCATGAACTCTTAGTTGGTAACTCCTTGAACCAGGAGTCAAGAGCTCTGGATTCCAGTGGTGTTTACTATGTTTTTGTAACTGTATATCCTTGAATAGCTCACTAAATCTCAACACATCTCAATAAACTCTTCTGTAAAATACACCTATTTCCATTGTTCTTATTTAACTTAAAGTTATGTTCCACTAAAAAAAAAAAAAAAAGAATGTAAAAGTGTTATAAAAATGTTTGGTGGCATTATTTTGACAGCTATAAGATCCTACAGAGAAGGATTAAAGTGCCTTGGTTTTCTCTGTACTTGACCCTAACACAGTATCACAAATAAGCATCCACACCATCTGAGTTCCTTTGTAATCTAAATAGTACCATTCATACATCAATTAATAACTTTTTGACAAGGATAATGATCATCTTCTATGTCCCATAAAATGCTTACAAAACATAAACATTCCATTGGAACTACCAGCCACATTTATAAAAGAGGGTTTGGTGTAAGAGTTTTTTTGATGATGTACTTGTTCTTAAATAACTAAGTCCTTAATCACAATGCAATCAGTCTTTAGGACACTGCTGACAGAAAAATTTTCTAGCCTTCTTCAAAGAATACAAAAAATAACTGGCTCACACATAAATAGATGTGTGCCATTCTTGGGGTGCCTGGCTGGCTCAGTCGGAGGAGCATGTGACTCTTGATTTCAGGGTTGTGAGTTCCAGCCTTATGCTGGGTGTAGAGATTGCTTACTTACTCACATGCATACATAAAGATCACTACTTCTTTTGCTATACAAAATTTTAATATAGTAAAATTAAACTTAATCATTATTAATCAATCTGTGCATCACAACCTAGATTTTTAAATTTTAAAGGAATTATATTAATTTTTTTCATGTTGTCTCTTTTTTTAAACATGGTCTTCAAACCTGATATTACATTTTATCTTTATGATTCTTGAATGCCTAGCTAATAAATTTTCATTTTTCTCAGGGCTCTTGGAACATGAATCAATATGAACTAGCCCAAATTTTTTTCCCTTTAATACCTTCACTGATGATGTCATTTCACTCCTCTGACGGAGGGTTTGTGCTCCCTGTACTGACCATGAGCAAGGTCAGCAGCAACAAAGAGAATGTTCAGTTTGCAATAAATGGAATTACTGGCCAGGGGGAAAAATATAGTATAATAAAACCTCTCTCTCAAGAGTTCCATGAAGAATTTTCTATCCATTTCCTAGAGTAAATATCCAAGTCCAAACAATTAAATAATATTTTTAAATGCTATTTTCCAAGTTACAATCTTTTTTTTTTTCTTTAACGTTTATTTTTGAGAGACAGAGAGCAAGCAGGGGAGGGACACAGAGAGAGGGAGACACAGAATCAGAAGCAGGCTCCAAGCTCTGAGCTGTCAGCATAGAGCCCAACATGGGGCTTGAACTCATGAACCGTGAGATCATGACCTGAGCCGAAGTCAGATGCTTAACCAACTGACCCACCCAGGCACCCGTGAGTTACAATCTTTTTAAAAGACTTTTTAACAGCTGAGATTTACTATAAAAGATGGTTTGACAGATTCTGGCAAATATGTAAACATCCTAAACAATAATTATTTAGAGTATTGTTTTAATTGCTAATTCTCTTGACTATCAAGAGGAAAATCTAGAACTGCCTATCTGAATTTGGGTCAGAGTTCAGAGTAGTTAAACATTTAAAACGGATTATTCTAGATGTTAGGCTGATCATAATTACACCAGTGTGGAACTAGTCAACTATGCCATTATACGTCTCAGGGCATAAATTATATCTAATTCCCATGCTTTATTGAGAACTTCAGTGTTAAAATCTAATATGTACAACAAAAAACTGCTCATAATTATATTTAGATAAGTAATTCCATACCTTACAACTCTGTTGAGTACATCAATATAAAGTCAACTAAGACTTAAAAGAACAAATTAACTGCTATTATTTTTTTCTTAATTTTTTTAATTAAGTTTATTTTGAGAGAGAGAGTATGTGCATGTGCAAGGGGAAGGGGCAGAGAGAGAGAGAGG